CCATTCTGCTCTTCCATAATCTCTGTGAGTCAAACACAGCTCTCCTATTTTTGGGTTCTTGTCAGTAAGCCAGACCCAGTTTACTTTCGGTGATTTCTCAATGCAATTTCATTTGTGATGGCTTTCGTTTCACTTTGATTTCTCTATGCTCTGTTTTGCCAAAATTTAGCAAAATTCTTTCGCTTTGATTGGTGTAAGTCATTTATGTTCCTCCCCATCGGGGGAGCAGTCCGAGAAGTAATCAATTCATGAACTCTCAATGGGATAGTCGATTGGCCATTCTTCAATCTTCATTGGTGTTTGAAGTTTATCTTAAAAAGACACCTTCTTTTAATGTCCATAATGTCTGTGGTACACATTGGAAAGAAGTGCAAATAGGAATGATATGAATGTTGCAACATTGTGTCTAAATGTGTATGCTGAATATTTCTTATTCTTAAGGTAGATGTTGTGTTATTTATCTCAGGATCAGAAAGATATTGTGGGAGATTTATATGTTGATGGAGAAGAAGTAAAAACAACTGAAATTCAAGAAGATATAGTAGAAAACCTTTCTATTGTAAGTGGTTAATTTTCATCAAACTGAGCTCTGAATTTGTTCTCTCATAGCAATAAGAGATTTTTACTTTATACTTCTAGCTAGTAACTATCATTTGGTTCACCTTTCTGTTGGTTTCACCGCAGGATGTGGATCAGGACTATCAGCCACAACCAGGGCATGAATTCCGAAGTGAACATGTGGTTAGAAATTAGTCCAAATCTTTTGCAAACATAATGTTTTGTCTATAAAGCATCCGTGTTCATCTCTGCTCTGCTCTGTGCATGATTATGTCTTTTGTTTCTTTGAAATGATCATGGGTTCTGATTATTGAATGTCGGTCGTCTGATTAGAACTTCGGTTGGGGGATTTTTCTAACTACCCTATACTCACTTTAGTGTGCGCATGTTCACGATTCATGCTACTGCTTGAAGTCCTGTATGTAAGCACAATCGTCAGATTGTTGATACAACAAGGACCTGATAATAGTATAGCTATATCGTCCATCCAGTTTCCTTGAAATTGAGGACTTTAAAGTTGAGGATACAGGACCAACTCACACTGTTTAGCCATATTTCAGCGGGCTCGATGTGAAGGCATGTTTTGTTTAGCTCTAATATGTTTTTGCTTCCTCTTGTTAGGATTGCCATGATGCATAGGATAAGAGTAGTTTTCATAGTGATTCCTTTGGGCCACACTCCTCAGTAGACTATATTTTCACCAGCCTTCTAAGATTCAGTAGTTACATAAGTCATAGATTGATTTGTTTTATTGGTGAGTACTTGAATTTGATCTTGTCTGGGTGGAATTTCATCAATGGTAATGGAAATATGTTGTCATTCGCCATCTTCCCAATATTCTTTCAGATTTTGATATGACTCATAATCATCTGGCAGAGAGTCTCATACTCTGAGATATTGTTGCTGAATTCTTTGAAAATTTATTCACTAGTGACCCTGGACAAGATTCAAGTTTTCCAAGCCTCGACATCCGTAAGTCTCACGTGTGAGGTTGTTCCTCGTCATTTTATAACTACCGTATGGCTGATAAATGCATTGGAGCGTTGTGCGGGAGAGGAACTTTGCAAGCCAGGGAAGGATTGCATGTATATACAAGATATGATGTTGTAGATACAAGTTACTATCATCAACACACGTTTCTCGTTGTTAATGGGTATTGTAACATTTTTTATAACTGAAGTTGGTTTCCATAGCCTAATTCTGACACTTGTTTTAGTTTTCTATCTGACATGCCTCTTATTGATCTCTTGTTTTGATCCCGAAGAATCTAAGTAGTTCTATCCAACAGTTTTATGAATATTCTTCTTTCTTATACAGTTCTCTTGTTAATTCTCATTGAGTTGATAAGTTGTCATGCTTTGATTGGCTGTTTTAAAGCTAAGATCAGGTGTCTAAGGGGGGTCCCTTAGTCATGTGACTAAGTGAATCCCATCCCTTGCACCTCATTAAAATCCAATGGTCCTTATTAATCCAATTTAATGAAGGACAATATAGTAATTTGATTATTTAATTTTTATTTATCAATTAAAATAAATAAATAAATATACAACCGCCGATCCGTTTTCTTGTCCAATGGCCTGGGTATTTTTTGCCCAGGAAATTCTCCCAGCGAGAGAGAGAGTTCGTCGACTGCTGTTTGATTTCCGGCCGCCGTCCCTTTTTGGATTCACCAGCGGCGTGAAGGATTTTCATCCCCCCACCATTTTGGTTTTGGGCGGCCCCCCACCATTTTGGTTTTTTGAAGCGACACAGAGAGAGAGAGAGAGTTATCCGGCGACCGGAGGAAACTTTTCCGGCGACCAGCGACGACGGAGAAGGATTTCCCTGCGTCAGTGTTGGATTTGTGATGTTTGCTGACCTATTTTGTAATGTTTGTATAGATACAGTTTGTATTGTTTGTCATTTTTAGTGACATTTTGTACGGTTAGTATGCTTTGCACTGTTTGTCGGGTTATTTTGTAATGTTTGTACGCTTTTGTTATTTTGTAATGTTTGTCGGTTTTTTTTGTAATGTTTGTAAACTTTGTTATTTTTGTGCACCATGTTTATCATTTTTGTCAACCATGTTTGTAATGTTTTTTATGTCTAAAAAACAACTTGGTTGACTTTTGGATGAAACTCCTCTATATAGGGATGAAGCCTCCAAAGTCAACTCGGGTGTTTTTTTCCAGTTCGTATGGATTGTCGGTCTAGTTTGTCATTTTTGTCCACCATGTTTGTAATGTTTTTATGTCTAAGAAACAACCGGGTTGACTTTGAGATGGAGCCCTCTATATAGGCATGAAGCCTCCAAAGTTAACCCGGGTGTTTTTCCAGTTTGTACGAATTTTTGGTCTAGTTTGTCATTTTTGTCCACCATGTTTGTATGTCTGAAAAACACCCGGGTTTACTTTGGGAAGGAGCCCCTCTATATAGGGATGGAGCCTCCAAAGTCAACCCGGTTGTTTTTTATTTTTGTATGGTTTGTATTGTTTGTCGGTCTAGTTTGTATTGTTTGTACAGTTCATACGTTTGTATTGTTTGTAAATCTGTTTGTATGTTTTGTCGCTCTAGTTTGTACTGTTCGTATGTTTGTATGGTTTGTACTGATTGTAAATCCAGTTTGTATACTTCGTAATTTTCCATAATACCCAAACTACCCCTGTCATTAATTAAATAGCCCTTCCCACTTTTTAACCATTGGATTGAAGTGTCCAGATCTAATGGCTAGGAGGGGCTTAGTCAAGTGACTAAGGATCCCCTTAGTCATGGGATCCGCTCTCCTGTTTTAAGGCTTCCATAATTATTCTTTTTATTCCTCAAGGAGGGTTGAGGTCAGACTATCACAAACTGTGGAGGATAAATGAAAGTGTTTGTGTTGCTAACATAATGTCTTTATATGTTGACAACTCATTTTAACGCATTTATTTCACCTTGGTGTAGGTTGATGATCCCATTATTTGGTTTTAGACTTTCCTGGCAGTTGGCAATTCCCACCTTGAGATGCTTTTATTATTGTATCATACGCACCCAACGTCAAGTACTTAGGTAAAAAAGAATAATATTGATTTTAATTTTGAATTGTATCATTTTTTGCTTATTCTCATTACTATTTCTCCACCCTCAGTGTAGCATCGCGAGTGTACAAAAAGTTGCATGGTTCGAGTGATGATATTGGGTGGTTGCAAAATACACCTGGAATGCCTCCAGTTAGTGATGGTACTCCTAGGTTCTTAGAACTTCTGGAGAATATAAGATACGCCTTTAGTTATGTCAACATTTCACTTCTGAAAGTTTCTTGATCTCTATCTCTTGCTGGCTGCGATACTTATCCTTTCTCTCAATGATGTCATTGTTTTTTAACCTTTTTCCATTTAACTCTAAGTGTGCCATGTTAGGGGAAAATCATTCTTTTTGTTATGAGTTGTGAATAAATTTGCACTTTTGCAGCAAGTTTCCATGTTGATCAGTGCATCTTGTTCTTGACAATTCGCTTTGTTGTTTAAGTGTTTGCTTCTACTCGTAGTCACTTCTTGGTTCTCTATTTGTGATTTTCTTCATGAATAAAGTTCTCTCACCTGTTTTGTTTCATCCTTCAGGAATGAAGAGCATGTGCTTCATGATTCCTTCGTATATCCATTAATACTAGGTATTGATAGATATCTCTTATTCACACGCTTTCACTTCAAGGCAACAAATGAGAGTTTTTTTACCGAGCTCGAACTTTGTTCTTTGTCAGAACTTTTTAGCAACCATGGTCCCCTGTATTTTGTGTCCACCAAGCGGTTCTTTTCTAAGATGGGTTTTGCTTGTCATGTTGCCAAAATTCATAGCGAGGTATATAACTCTCCCCCTTAACATCTAGGAGAGTTTCTAAACCATCCAATCTTAACATCTCCCTCTTTATATTAAGGCGTCAGTGGAGCACAATGCATTGGAACTGAAGCAGTACATCGATGAGTTGTACTGGGGTTCAGGGAAGCGTGTAATGCTACTGGGCCATAACAAAGGTGGAGTGGATGCTGCTCCTGCATTGTCAATCTATTGGTCAGACTTGAAAGACAAAGTTGCTAGACTTGCATTCGTGTAGAGCCCCTATGGTGGGACACCAATTGCCTCGGAAATCCTTCGCGAGGGTCAGGTTGCTAAACGAGAAACGAGGAGGATCATGAAATTCCTGATATGCAAGTTGATCAAGGGGATTTCTTTTGCTATTGTCAAGGAGGCCACATGAAATGGGTTTTATTTTGCTTTTTGTGCTATCCAGTCCTAGGGTGGGTTTGTTTTAACTCAGCATCTATAAATAGTTGGGTCCAAAGTTGAAACACACTTGTTCAAATTGAACTTTTCAAAATGATTGCTCGCCCTAACTAAAAGGGGTTCCTTTTTCTTTTGTTTAGGGTGACATACGAGCATTGGAAGACCTTACAAAAATGTGAGTGGTGATGCCGATATCTGGGGAAATGGCATTGTGCGCACTTCATTTGCAGCTCCGGTATAGAGAGAAGAGCGATGGATTGGTAACTTGCCGTGATGCTGAAGTTCCGGGTTCTGTTGTGGTTAGACCGGACAGGAAGCTTGACCATGGCTGGATGGTTTACTCTTCGAAGAAGAAGGATCCTAACAACCCTGATTCCTTCCAAATGTGCGAGGCTCTATTGACCATGCTTGTGGAGCTTGGCAAGAGCAAACAGCAGGGGAAGGCAGTAACCTGAGAAAAATTGCAAAAAGGGATGAACCTATTTGTATTCCTGCATAAAGTGTTTTTGGTTTCTGCAATGAATCATATGATCTCTGTATTTGAAAGTGAAGAACTTCACAATCTATTTAGACTTCAAAACGTGAGATTGAATTTCCTCATGAGATTCCATCTTGACTACAATGATTGACTGTACATTCTATGAAGCAAACAAAATTAGCTTGACTACGAGTTTCATATGTTTGCACATTGCAAGTCTTATTTGCAATTCTAGAGATCCTCTTGATGCTACCTGGGTGATGGAGCATATACGTAGTTAAGCGAAAACTGACAAGCAACACCCCGTATGATCTCCATTCAACACCTAGATTTAGATGATCATTAATCAGTGGTTACAAATGGGAGGTCATTTTGCATTTGGCATCATCAGCCCCAGTTAGGTTAAGACTCACAGAAAAGGAAGAACATACTGAAAGAGGATACTCTTATAACATAGACTAATACAAACAAGTACTCCCTTCACGAAAAGAAACATTGGCTCTATTCACCCCTGTGATGTCTTTAGAGTTCAAACTTTGGAAGGTTATTGTCATTCCATGTATGGGTGGAAACATATGAAAATAACCCTCTATGACATTCTTGGGAAACAAGAGGGTTACATTACTTCCTTCAGACATTATTACAGAACAGTGAGGTATATAGCTGATATTTTGGGTCCCTTCCAGAGGGAGCAAGATCTTGTGGAGAGGTACAAACCTGGCTCTCACATGCATTGTCTTTCTACGAAAAAAGCGAAAATGAATTCATTGGCCCATTTAGATGGGGAGATGACTAGTGTTTACAGCCAGCCCAATGGGTACCAGTCTTAAAATGTGCAAGTGATAAAAACTAAAAAGGGGAGAAAATAGAAAATTTTGGAGGGTAGGTCTAGTCCATTAAGAAACAACCAACTACTCAGATGTTCATCAATTATAATAAAGGTACTCTTGGAGATGGGAGTACACCTTCCATATTTTCAAGTGATGGCAGTTGGATATATTTTTACGGTATTTCAATAAATTATGACTGTCAATTATTATTTATTAAATTGATTTTCATGTTTAAATATAGGAAATCGATACATGGGATTTACGCGCCAAACGCATTTTAATTTATGGTGCCGATAGAAATATTCACTCCAGGAATACACTAGTCCAATGCTTCATTATAAGAAATTGTCGCAACCGCACCTTCGTATCGGGGTCCGCTCGCGATTTGCTCGGAGTCGCCATCGATCGTAAATGTGGTGGATCAAACACTTTTTTTTCGGTTCAAACCTTAAGGTTAGAACCGGGATTTGGTCTGCGAAATTTTTAGAAATTTGGGTTCGGGAGTACGATTACTTGTGTGGAAGTGTATTCACACCCCACAACGCCCCAAATGGGTACTACTTAAACCGATAAGTTTTAAAAGGTTGGGTGTTTTATTATTTGCGCTTTGATTGTGTATTTAATCATAAAATTGAATTATTTTTAATTATTCTGGGTGTATTTTTTAGAGTCCAGTTGGACGTAAATTTTAAATTGTTGTAGTTACTTGATAATTTTCACGTCTATTGACGTAAAAATATTTTGTAGATTGGTTGGACTCGAACCTATTGGTTGCCTACATACCCGACTTAGTCGGGATCAAAGTCCACGTAGTTCATTTTAATCGAAATATTTTAAATGTTGAGTCTCACACATGGAAATGCCGAGAAAATTTGTTAGTTGGACTTGAAACCTATTGGTTGCCTACGTACCCGAGTAGTCGGGATCAAAGTCCACGTAGTTCGGTTTATGAGATGGTTTTGAAAAGGCGCGACCTTAACACGTTCTATTGACATGTGATTAAGATTTGATGTTGGATAATTTAAAAGAGTGAAGCAAAGTTTAATGCTTTGGAATTCTAATTTGAAAGTTCGATGAATTTCGAATAAACTTAATATGAGAATGCTGTCATGATCTACTAACCGTTGACATTTCGTATTAAGAAAATTTGGGGAACATCACCTATACTGAATATTATTTAAACAAATGAGATTAATAATTCTTAGGAGGTAAGATATTAATGATTTTATTGGGGTTACCGTCTTGTGGTTTAGAGTGTCAATCAGAATTTGCTACAACAAACGGATCAGTTTTTCGAATCTTCCTGGGACCAAAATTTTGGATCGTTTTGGGACTTGTCGTTTTTAGGCGAGGAAGGTGGCAGTGGTGTAATATAACGAAGATGGAGGGCAGTTTAGTCATTTGACAAAGGAGGGTTTATAAACCCCTCAAAGGCTGGAAAGAAACCCTAACTTAGCCGCCCCCAACCCTCTCTTCTCTCCTTCTTCTCATTCTCTCTAGGGATGGCAATGGGGCGGGTTTGTCTAAACCATCCCCATCCCCATCTTCAAATCTCCAAACCCATACCCGCCCCATACCCATGCGGGGGAATGTTTTACAAACCCATCCCCATACCCGTGGGTTTCGGGTATCCATGGGTAATATCAGTACCCGTACATCTAAGATTATTATACCTAAAACTTACAAGAAAAGTTTTAATTATAACTTTAAACGAACCTATTATATCATGAAGTCAACAAAACACGGTCATTGTCTTAATACGGTTCAAAATATATGATTCTAAAACATCCATTAATACATAGTATAGAGTATAGTATTTTTCAAATTATTATCTTCTAACTCTGATACATCTACTAAGTAATAATTAACTAACATAATTTGGTTGACAAGGGGGAAAATGAAAGAGTGAAAGGAGAATTGAGGGAAATGAATTAGATTTTGATTAAAGTGGTCACTCAATTGCATTTCTACTATTTATTTACTCGAGTTATCCTCATACCATTGATAGATTACAATTTATTCCACATTTTTTTATATGTGAAGAAATTCTCTTGGTGGGGCGGGTATGGGTATGGGTATGAGGCAGGAAAGGTCAAAACCATACCCGCCCCATACCCGGTCAAAGCGGGGATTCCCCGCGTTGACTGGGTCGGTGGCGGTCGGGTACCTACGGCCATGGTTTGATTGCCATCCCTAGTTCTCTCCTCTTCCCTCTGTCTCTGCCACGAAAACGACTCAGAGAAAACAAACCTGATCTGCTCGCTCCTTCAATTCGATCCTTTTCCTCTAACTCTCGTCGTCCTTGCATCGCCGTTACCCACCAGTACCACCCGGAAAACGACCTGCATTTCTAAATTTTCTTCTTTCTATGAACGACGAGGGAAAGAAAGAGTGGAATGGCGACTACGGCAGCGAAGGGAAGAAATCGATCGACGCGATGATGATACCGGAGGCGAAGAAGGTCAGAGGTAGGTGTTTTATGGGTTTGCATGTTGATTTTAAGGTTCGATTTTGCTGGGGTTCGAGTTTAATTTGTTTTCTGATTGTATTTTTTGAGAGGAAGGGAGAAGTAGCCTCACCGACGGCGACAATCCTTCAGGAGGCAGAGGTATCGGCGGCGGCGAGAGGTGATTGAGGAACAAAGGAAGGAAAGAGGACGTTTGATCGTGGAGGGAGACGAAGGAAGAAAAAGGGGAGGTCGTCAGCCGGTGACGAGGAAGACACAGAAGACGATGACTAGGGGGTTCTTCTAGGTAAGTTTGTTTTTTCTGGGAATTTGAGGTTTGCCTTTGATGTTGGTTTAGAGGCTGATTTGGGGTTAAGATTTTTAGTTTTTTTTGCTTTCGATTTGGTTTATTTCTGGATCTCAATCCTTATGTGTGTTTTTATGTTGGGTTTCAATTTTATGGCTTCAGAAGCTAGAGGAAACGGCGAGTACTGAGACTGCACCGCCGCTTACGACATCTGCGTCAGCGGACGCCGTAGCAACACCGGTGACAGAATGAGGTAAGCGCTCATTTGTAGTATGCCTTTGGTTTTGACTCTCAACTTAAAGTGTTCTGATTTCTATCCCAAATCGATGCGGGTAGGAGTTTTTAAGGTTGGAAATGAATGTTATTGTGCATTTGAAAATTATGCTTGGTATATTTCTTAGTCATTATTCTGGTACGTTGAGTTTTATTTTAATGTTTGATTGTTTTAGGTTTATGATTTGAAAACCCAGATTTGTGCTAAAATGATAGTAGTACAGAAACTTGATAGCTACCTAAAGTCACTACTATTGCATGAGGTCCTTAGGAACTTTTGTATAGTTTTTATCTGATTAATATACGTAATTGAACTTTGAAATGGGATTCGTCTATGATGGGTAGGAACTTGGCTGAGTTGTGAAATTAGTAGTGTTTATGATGGGTTTGAATCAAGGAATTGATGGGGTTTATTGTGGATTTGAATCTAAAAAAATGAAGTTAGTTTTATATCATGATAGTTTGGATCATGGCGATTGATGAATATACTAAAAATCAGATTTCGTATTATTTGCTAGATTATTAACTTCTGTATGTACTGAAATCCGCTTCAAAGAGGAGAAGACAGGATGAATAGAATAACGAAACCCAATCTCAATCACTTTTTTATGTATGGATCTTGAATGATTGCATATAGATCTTCTTAGAAAAACACCTTTTTAGTTTATGTTATTGCTTTACAAAGGAGGTTATGTGATGAATGAGATGGATATAAATGATTGGGATTTGATACTGCCCACCTTTCGTTGTGGTTGTTGGAGTGGTTGAAGCTGCTTCCCTCCTTACTCTTGTGAGCTTGCTTCTCTTGATTTGGCTGCTGGAATCGGCTTGGTACTAGGTTGCGTTGGATCTTTTATCTCTTATGGATGCTTGGATTTTTTTACAGCGGTGAGGCTCTTTTGTTTTTGTGTCTTTTTCTGGTTGTTCTTATTTGACAGTAGGATATCTCGGTGTGGGGTTTTGAGAAAATATTTCTGAAAGTGGGTTTTGGCAACTTTTGCACTTCTACGAATAGGTCTCGGTTTTTTTGTCTCCGAAGAAGGAAAGAAAAGGATGAGATGCTCTGTTTTGTTCTACCTTTTCCTTGTGCTTATGTTGCAGTTGAGTTGGAGTTTTGTTCTTGCTCTTTCTTTTTCTACTACGTATGATGTGTATAAGAGAAAGGAATTGTAATGTTTTGGCCAGACCGAGAGTAGGACTGGGAAACGGTGCGGTCTGGTCCAGACCGAGAGGCTGAAGTATAGACCACAGACCAGACCACAAACTATACGGTCTGGTCCAGACCGCGCCTGTGCGGTCTGGTTCGGTATGGTCTGGTCTAGATAGACCACATTCAACGAAAAATGAATAATTTGTTTAGCCAACCACACAAAAAATTGAACCCATAACCAAGAAAAATAATTGTTATTTGCCTTAACACATTAATCCTAACATGCATGAATAATTTTGATACCCTAAATCTTAGTACATAACAAATATAGAAGTAAAAGCATCCCAACTTGCAACATAATGTCATAAACATTAACATAATGTCATATGGATACACAATTATCTCTACTCTCTGGTTAAATGGTGTTGTGAATGAAGGAGGGACGAGATTCACAAAACTAAGGTTGAGACTTGGGTGTCGTTGTGGGAGTTGAGAGAGTGGTCGAATGGGCTGTTAACACGCATTGGCAAGTCAGTTGGGTTCATGGTTTGGTCTGGTAAACCGCAGACTAGACCCGACCAGACCAAGAAATCAAAACATAAAATAATACAGACCATGGACCATACCAGACCATACTTAACAGTCTACAGTCCGAACCAAACTGTGCGGTACGGTTTGGACCACGATTTTTCTAATGGTATGGTCTATTTTCCCAGCCCTAGGTTAAAGTGGGTTAAAGAAGAAAAAGGTGGAAGAGGTCCTCTTAGATTCTGTCTTTGTGTGTGTTCGAGAAAATGGGAAGTGACTTTTTGTTGTATTTCTTGTACCGGCGACCAAGAAGAAAGAGTAGGGGACTGTTGAAGCTTCTTTTTTGCAGAGTTTTTCTTTGGGGAGGAGGAGGATCTGAAGAAGAAAAAGAAGAATAGAAGTCCCTCCGTGTTTCTCTTTGCTGTCTATTTATCAGGAAAAGAAAGGGAAGAAAGGCAGGAGAAGAGGAAAAGGAAGAAGAAGATGATGATGAGTGGCTGACTCTTTGTTTTTGTTTGCCTGTCTGTTTATTCAAAGAGGGGAAGGAAGTGCGAAGAAGAGGAGGAAGGTGCAGCTCAAAGCACGGGAAGAGGAGAAGGAGTCTGCTGTCTTTTTTAAGGTGTAAGTGTTCCTTGTTTTATAGCAGGAGAGTGATTATCTGTGGAGGGTTTCGATTGGCTAATAGGATGTAGGTTGTGCTGTATTTTTGTGATTGGCTAGTGAGTGGGTTGGGCCTGCTTCAGTTCGAGCAGTCCGGTTCAACCGAAATTGGGCTTGGTCCAAGTTTAACCGGGCCAGTCTGTTGCAATTGGGTTTGGGCTTGACTTGTTGACTGGGCTAGACCAAGATATGGGCCTGATATTGTTGACTAGGCTTGATTGGCATCTTTTGATTGTAATTATTAATTGTTTTAATTATGTAGTTACTTTATTGTAATTGTCTTAAATGAAATTGTGTTATGAAAATATTATTATTATTATGGATGACCAACATTAGATGCTCCATGGTATGTTACAAGTTCTATGTAACTCATCTCCTTATATTTATTCTCCATATGACACATTAGTTGCACAATTGGGTGTTACATGTAACCCCCCACCCCATTTCTATTTCACATTCATTCTCACATTCATGTATATTGATTGTAAGAATGTAGAGGTTATGTGATGTGTGCCTATAAATAGATGGTCTCCTTGTACTAAGGAACACATGAATAAGAAAGCTCTATTCCCCTTCTCTTCTTGTGTCTCTACTCTTACTCTTGTGTATGTTCCTCTTCCTTGTTATTTCATAACACGTTATCAGCACCAAGCTCTACCAAAGTCATGGTTGGTGATTGTCTCTCTACATAATCAAATATACTTGAGTAAGATCACAACACGATCAAGGTATACAAATTTTCATGTCGTTTCTTGTTAGTATGTTTATCTATCTCAATGTCTTTGAGAGATTATTTGATCTTGTTATTTGTTCATATAATTTTATGAACTTATTTTATATATGTGGATCTTGTAACAAAAATGTCGAAATATGAGTTACCATTGCAATGAAAAAAATACATGGGAAGTTTGGATAATGACAATCAGCAAATGTTTCTTTTCACCAGAAGTGAAAAATAAAATAATTATAAATGAAGATGATAATTCATGTAGCAAAAGTCATGATCATATACTGTAATCCTCGTATGCCGAAATGTGTTATGAAACACATATATGTTGTTGTTATTATTATTATTATTTTGTATGTTTTTGTATAGAATTGAATATTTGCAAAAGTCAATACTGGTATCATATCATATCGTATGAAAGTAATCAAAAGCTCCGGAAAAGATTGTGTTTTGTTACTTGAAGTAACTAAACAATATATTGGTGATAAATAGTGTGACAATATTCTTATCAATATGGATTTGTGCTCACAATAGTTCACCGAAATCAAAAGGTGCCTAATGACCAAAATGTAGTACAAGAGTATATGAAAGCTCCAGAAGAGCTAATGTTTTGAGACGTGAATGAACTAAACTGTCAGTTGAAGATGCATTACCGAATTATGAAGATATTCGCAGAAAAGAATATCATAATTGATATTGCATCAGAAATGTGTTATAAGAGAACATATACTTAACCGGAGAAATTTGTACTACATGTATATTAGTACATATGAAAGTGTAAACCAGAAGTTTGCAAGATCGGATAACTTTTTATTTTGGCATGTCCGGTCATACCATCCCGGATACAGATGCAAAAATGATTGAGATATCATACGGAAATTAAGTGAGAGTTCAGAGAATTCATCAATCAAAGGATTGATTATGTGATACATGGTCTTGAGGAGAATATACTCGTGAAAATAATTGAATTTGTTGAGATTTTATAAAAGTGTATGCAGAAAAATACACTCACCGTGCAAATCATATATGAATTTTATGATCATATATGAATTTTATGATTTTGGTTGATTCATCAACTATATCATCATATATGTCTGTTATCTAAACGCAACCTGATGTTTGCGAGATTAGTTGCCGAATGATGGATATATTTTGATGATTATCCAATCAAACCGAACTCTTATCGAGGCATATGATATCATTAATTCGCATGAAGCCAACAAGTTATCATAAGTTGTCCCCTTTCATACAAATGGTTTTGGTCAGGGACCAAACATTTAAAATGCTAGAAAATTTGGGTGTGCAGAATACATCCCAATTGATCCACCACAACACGTTATGAGTTCCATGAGAACTTATGTTGGACATGGTGTCCATTGCAATGAGAGATTTGTTCATGACTCTTTTTGCTAATATCATCATTTTGATGAATTACTTTTCGAACGTTAAGGGGGAGAAAAGTAAACACTGGGGCATAGATGTGAGTTGGAATCATCATTATCTCATTTTGATCCTCAAACGAAGAAACATGAACCCGAAGTTCATATGGTGATTCATGGAGGAAAAAAACGTATTGATTGCCAAACGCCTTTTTATTCACTAAAAGGAGTGATTATGTCAAATGCCCAGTTGTGAATGCTCCAATACAAATTGATGTCCATATTGGATAATCTAATGAGTCTAAACGAGCGCATGAAGCGTGGTAGACCAATCGGTTCCAAGGATAAAAATCCTCGAGAAAGGAAGGAGCTATAAATTAAGATGGTAAACTCGAGGATAAAATAGCTCTAGAAGAGTCAAGTCATAAAATTGAGATCATAGTTCCAGAAGAATAGTAGGTACCTGAACGTTTTAAAATGAAGAGATCTCAACTAATTGGCTTGTATGAAAAAAAGTTGGAACCGAAGTGTATTTATTGTCGACAAGGGTTTTGATTATGCTGCAGCACTGAACGTGATAGATACAAAGAGGATCAAAAGTAAAAGTCTATTGATGCATGCAAAGAAATATATATTGGCCAATAAAAAAAAGAAAGCATTAGGCTATTTGGTATAAGTTTTGGACCAGAAGTCCTACACCTGAAGATGTAAAACTAACGGGATACAAATAGGTTTTGTGCAAACGCGTATGGAAATTGCGAGAGATATAATACAATTTCTCGTGAGAGGTTTCTGGTAGAAACCTTACATCAATTATGAAGAGACATACTCTCTTGTGGTGGATGCAACTATGGTGTGCAATTTAAATAGTTTGGCAGTTCAAAAGGCATAAAATTTGCATTTGGTAGATATTGTGATAGCCTATTTGTATGGATCCCTTGATAATGATATTTATACGAAACTCCTTGAAGGATTAGTTTGCCGGAAGCAAACATGTGAAGTTCTCGAGAACAATATCGATCGATAAAACAATCCCTTGTATGGATTGAGATAAAATGGATGAATATGGTATATTCATCTAAGTGAATATCTACTAAAGGAAGTGGTCGAATAAGCCTTGCGTGATTAAATTCGAATAAAGTGCATTAGAGCATTTGCATTTGGCATGTGTGATTGTGTAATGACATATAGGCTTATGTGCGTGATATTGTGGTTTTAGTTATGAGTTTGATTTATGAATGTGGTTTGGTTAAGTGATGTTGTGTGTATGACGTGCCTTTTGCTTGTGGCCGTGTGGTATGAAGTAATTGTTTGCATACAATTGTGTTAGCTAAGTTTCATAGTTATATGGAAGAAAAAAGTCGAGAAATTATTTTATAATGATCTCATATCTTTTAGTTGATATGAACTCCAAAAGACCTTCATAAAGCATGTTTTGCTTAATGAAAGAAAATTGAACTCCAGAAGAGTTTCATGAAGCATGGATTGCTTAAAGAAAGAAAATTGAACATGAAGGATTTAAGATCCTTTTTGAATCAGTACGACAATGTCGGAAAGGTGAAAGGACAATTTTGTATGGAAAAAATTGCATATGTTCAATAGCTTAATGATCACATGGTCACTAGAAGTGAACAAAGATCAATTTAGGCATTGAGATAAAAGTGAATTATTAGGTCCTGAAGTACCGTATGTTAATGTCGTTAGAGCGAAAATGTATCTCACTATACTTCGTTACTATAGGTAACGATGAGGATCATAGATGAGTAATTTGTTTACCTATGGTCGTACAAGTATCTCATGGAGATTCCAAAGAAATCACAATAGCAACTGATCATGCACAATGGTCAGCAATTCATGAGACTTGTTATGAATTGTTTGGTTAAGATTTGTGATTCAACACGTCTAAATGACTTGTAGTTGTGGATTTTCTTCATAAAAATGATCTTGAAGATCATGTATGAAGAAAATGGTCCTAATGGATCATGCATAAAGTGACAATCTAGAAGATTTGTTCACTATGAAGCTTACCATGAGAAGATTTGAAAGATTTGTTCACAACACTATACTTTGATGTTGTCATGAGGGGGAGCATATACGCACTGCACTCTTTTTTCCTTAACCATGGTTTTTCCCACTGGGTTTTCCTGGTAAGGTTTTTAACGAGGCAGATTCAGATAGCGTATTATGATGATTATGTACTCTTTTTCCTTCACTAGGATTTTATCCCACAGGGTTTTTCCTAGTAAGGTTTTAACGAGGCATATTCATGTCTAATGGTCATCCAAGGGGGAGTGTTATGAAAATATTATTATTATTATGGATGACCAACATTAGATGCTCCATGGTATGTTACAAGTTCTATGTAACTCATCTCCTTATATTTATTCTCCATATGACACATTAGTTGCACAATTGGGTGTTACATGTAACCCCCCACCCCATTTCTATTTCACATTCATTCTCACATTCATGTATATTGATTGTAAGAATGTAGAGGTTATGTGATGTGTGCCTATAAATAGATGGTCTCCTTGTACTAAGGAACACATGAATAAGAAAGCTCTATTCCCCTTCTCTTCTTGTGTCTCTACTCTTACTCTTGTGTATGTTCCTCTTCCTTGTTATTTCATAACAAATTGTTATTTCTTTCTTTTGACTTTTATTACTTAGTAATCAAGACCCAACCTCACAATCCCATATGTCAAGCAAACGATCAACTTCTGTCACAATCAAATGAACACAATTCTAATTCATCTAAACTCTAAACATTTCAATTCATCACTAATAAATTGTATCAATAGAGATTTTCTACTGCTAATCTCATTAATTATGGAAAACAAAACCTAACCTAAGCACTGCAAATACGACTTCAGTTAGTAGTTTTAAAATTCGCTATTGCTAACTTTACACAAAAACTAACATTTATTTAATTAAATATGTTTTGCCGGACAAAAAGTGGTGTCTACAAATATCACAACAAAACAGTGGGTGTTTGTTATGACCGAACAAAGGCATATGGCAGGGTTGAGCTTGCCCTTGTGAGGTTGTAATTTGATGTCCATCTGCTCTTGTGTTTGTTGGGAAGATGAAAAGATAGATACTTTATATGGCATTTTGTCTTTCTCACTTAAATGATAAATCCCACATTGCTTTTTCTTTGATGGCACGAGGGGAAAAGCCCCATAAGAGAAGTTGCTAGATGTATGGGTTCTTTGTATGGGATTCTACAAATAAGCACCAAATCTTCCAAGCAATTAAGAGGGATTCAACAATGAATATGGAGGTTGAATTATTACTCAATTATGAGTTATTATGAATGGTCTTTGATGATATTGAATTGGTTGCAGATATGAGTTTTGTATCATAGTAATTGGATAAGGAAAATAAAATTAGTCAAATTCATAGGAGATTTCCTAACCACGTTCGATAATTGATCAATTGCCGAGTTATCGAGGAAAGGGCCTGATTTATCACTTTGGAGATATGAGTTTGAGAACACATAAATTTGACGATGTGAAATATCATCCCCTCCGTCATTCAAGTTGGCACGAACCCATCTTGGATCGTCCTTATTTTCAAAGATATAGACTACTAGCAAGGTGATTTCATGGCAAATCATCATTCGACTATAATAATTTTCATTAAAGGTTAACTATGGACAATTGGTTCTAACTAACCTCGTTATGGATTAGTGGGTTACACATTTTGACGCTTATACATTTCACGAACTAAGCGGGCAGTTTTAACCGAACCATGATCATTTGATCTAGTGTATCATGTTTCATTGACATTCTAACTAACCTCATTCACGGTTGTACGTTTAGCGCTTATGATTTCAACAACCAAACACGACTTTAGTCATCTATTGGATTTTGTATGACTTGTTCAAAATCGAATCAAATAAAAGTCATTCAGTATTATATTAGTTTATTGACTTACACTCTCCGTAAACTGGAGAGGGAAAAATCAGATGCAGCCGCGGAGTCACAGTAGTAGTATAAGGAGGGAAAACTCTCTTAAACTCTCAAAAGTAAGTAAAATCATAAATACATCTAATAAATTAATTGGTAAGACTTTAACTTCTCTCCAGTTGTCGCTAGTTCAGTCATTGAGATTTATGACTCAACCACTAGTTAGATGCATACTTTCCAAGACAAACATTGGTCGAAAAGTTTGATGACTCTTTTCCTAAACAAAACATCAATTGCTTCTGATGGAAATGAGATGGTCCAAGATACATCTGCCATGCCAGGTAAACAAGTAACATGTAATATTAATGAGAACCTAGGACAGACGAACAGATACATGACCTTAATTATAAAGGGACTCTCTCACTCTCTCCGTGCAACCAGAAAATTGAAGAGAGCTAACCGATCAGTCACTCCTTCAATTACGATCGACAGCATGGGTGCGCACATGAGTAGCATGTGAAAAACACCAGCTAGTAACTAATAACCATCTTTTGCACAGGAAATTTATATAATTTTTGGGGGCAATGATCATAAAGAGAAGATAGGAGGGGAGAAAGACAAACGTGTAATTTCTCAAAACATATCGATTATAATGGGTTTCTTTCTCTCTTAATTGAAGCCAGTCTTGAATTGGGTGATGGGTTGAGGAGTGGTTAGTTTTTTTTATCATGATTGATTGATTGTATTAGATAAGCAGCAGTTGATATCAAGAACTCAAATTGTTATAAGAAATGTAAATATCGATCTTGTATGACTTTTTTACTTTCCAGTTTAGTACATGAGCCAACAAAACAGTCAAATTCCGGTAGTTGCCATCTATATTGCGATTGTTCTCTGGATGTTTATATTCTATATTTGGAAATTCATCTTTCAATCACACTCAGAGAAGTTTAAATATTGATCTTGTACCACTTCTTCACTTAACAGTTCAGTGCATATGCCAACCAAACAGTCATATACGACATGTCACTATCTACATCAAGATTATTCTCTTGATGTTGATAACCTAGATTGAGAGATTTGTATATGTATTCAAGCATGTTTACATAATTCAATTTTTTTGCAGATTACCTCATTCGTCAGAGTAATTATTATTCTTCTTTCGGACCCCATTCATTTATCACTCTTCGAATACTACGACTTTTAGTCTACTATTTTAAGTATGACTCTTTTGAAGATATTGCCGCATTTTGTTCTGAATGTCAGGCAGAGCTATTATGCCTTAAGTTTCCCAAGGGAAAAAAAGAAGAGAAGAAACCCTGGAATTTGAGGATTCCCAACTCTCTTTAATTTCGTAGCAAACCTAAAAAAAACAATGTATTCTTCTCACCTCTTTGTAGCTAAGCTTTAAGATTGTAGATAGACTTAGGAAATCTAGTCCATTTCATGTTGTCCAAGTTTATACAGTCTCATCACCTAGATATATAGCAACCAATAATTGATGATACGTTAGCAAATGAGCAATTATAGCATTCGATTTCCATTGTTGAGAAATTCATATTAATCAATTAAGATTCCTTGCGATTGAAATAAAATTAGACTTTTCTGGATGTTACCGAATTCATGATATCAATTGACAATATATGTTCCTGCTAATATTGCACCGTTGAATTTGTGTCGATTCCAATTCCCAAACTAATTAATCAAAGGAGGTAACATCAATTAATAATAATTCTTATTATTATTTTAGTTTATAAGGGAGAGAGAATTTATATGAATGTTGGAATTTATGAGCAATCAGGTAGCGATATTATCCTAAAACCACATTAATTATCTGGGCAAAAAAGAATTTGATTTAGTGGTACTACTATTGATCTTCAATATGAAAATCCCATATTTGAATTTCTTAAGTAGCACTTAACAATAAAATAAACATATTATGATATGCCAACTTATGATAGTAGTATGGAAGATTTCAAACCATTGGCAGAATGATATTGAAGTAGTTGAGCATAAGGCTTCAAGGCCTTGGTTTACCTGGATAAATAAGCAGGTGCAGAACCCTATTGCAAGACGCATGGACAGGGCTTTTGTTAACATGAAATGGTTAGATTCGTGTCCAAACAGTGTGGTTGATTTACTTGACCCATTAGTTTCAAATCATTGCCCAATATACTTAGACACACAGACCTGATTCAAGAAGCATGGTCAGCTGATGTACAAGGATCTCCCTTGGGTAAAGTTTGTAAAAAACTAAGGATCTTGAAAAAGTTGTTGAAGGCTCTAAATAGGGATGAGTTCTCTGATTTCTCAGCTAGAGTACAGTTAAAATAGTATGAGTTGTGTATGGCTCAGGCAGATGCATTAAGCTCCCCTTCTCCTACGACTTTTGAAAAGGAGAATGTGGAAGCTTTGGAGTTAAAAGAGCCCAGAATGATAGAAGAATCTTTTTTCAGACAGAAATCTAGAGAAGTCTGGTTGAAGACAGGTAACTCTAACACCAGTTTTTTCATAGATCTATGAAAATTAGGCAGCAGAGAAATGCAATTTGATCTCTTCTTGATGAGAAGGGAGTAAGAGTTACCGATACATCTTCCATGAGCTCAGTTGCTACTTATTTTTATCATAATCTCCTTGGGATATCTGATCCTCTGGTCAAAGCTGAGCCCGTTGAGTTTTATCAACAGCTCCTGGAGAAACTCTCACCTGAGCAAGTCTATGATCTTTGCAGGCCAATCACAACAGAAGAAGTGAAAATTACTATATTTGGTTTCAATGGGGAGAAAGCTCCTAGCCAGATGGATATTCTGCATGTTTCTTCCAAGCTGCATGGGGCATAGTGGGCTCTGAGATCACATCTGCCATCCAACATTGTTTTGATTCCTCTGACTTTCCACTCGAGGTAAACTCCACTCTTCTTGCTCTTTTACCAACGACAAAGAACCCTGAAGAGATGAAGAATTTTAGGCCCATCTCCTGCTGCAATGTACTCTATAAATGCATTGCTAAAACAATCACTCTAGGCTGAGTACTTGTTTGCCTCTTGTGATTAGTGAGAATCAAACTGCGTTTGTGAAAGGCAGGGGTATTGGTGAGAATATTCTCATTTCTCATGAACTAGTCCAGAGATATACTAGGAAAAAAATTTCCCCTAGAAGTATAGTTAAAGTAGATTCAATGAAAGCCTTTGACTAAGTGGATTGGAACTTCTTATTTACTATCCTTGAAGCTATGGAATTTCCTATGAGGTTCATTAAGTGGATTTATATGTGTGTCACTACTCCCAAATTTAGTGGTGGAGTATTTCTCTGCAAAGAAAGGGCTTAGGCAAGAGGACCCTATGTCCCCCTACATGTTTGCCATTGCCATGGAGGTTTTTGGTTGTCTTATGAGGGAGGCAGCCACAGTCAAGAAAATTCCTTTTCACTCTATGTGTAAACGTATAGGGTTGACCCATCTAATGTTTGCGGATGACTTACTCATATTCTCTGATGGGTCAAACTATGGAGTTCAGTGTATTCAGCCAGTCCTTGCTAGATTTAGAGATCTTTCTGGCCTTGTTTCAAACCCTGCAAATGTGAGATCTTCTGTGGAGGTTTGCCTGAGGAATGAGAGGTTAGTATGGCTCACATGACTGGGTATAAACTAGGGGGTTTTCTTGTGAGATACTTGGGGGGTTCCTTTGATACCTGGTAAGCTAA